CTCCTGGTGCGCCGTCGCGCCGACTTGCCCCCCAGCTCGATCTATGCCCTCCCCTTCTCTCTTTCCTTTTTAGCATACATGGCCCGTGCATCTGGCGGCTGCTCCGCGCTCTAACAGCCCCCTCCCGCCCCGGTTGGTGGCGAGGCTCCCCTCCCCGATAGCTCCCTCTCGATATGTGTACATCGACAACCTGACGGCAGTTCTGCCAGCGTCCCTCAGTCACCCGCGGGGTGCCGACGAGGATGCGTATGCCGATGCCGATGCGGTTCTTCGTTTCAGTCTCGTGGCCAAGTCCATGGTGCGTGTATTCTCCCCTCCCCCCGCGGGGGGCCCCCCCCCCCCCCCCCCCCCATGTCATCGCTCCCCTCCTCGCTGCTTCCCTTTCTCCGATCCATTTTCACACACCCGCGGCCGTATTCTTCCTTTCCCTCTTCTCCTTCTCCCCTCTTCCCCTGTGCCCTTTGCCCCATTTTCCATCTAACCTCCTTTTGGCTCCTTCTCTCCGATGCGCTCCCACCCTCCTCAGATCACCAGCTGGTCGACCTGCTGGAGCGTGTGGGTCTGTCATACCTGCTCCAGCGCTCCGGGTCGGAGCGCACGTTGGCCTGCGATACCGGAGCCAAGGTGCCTTGGTCGCTGACAATCAAGGCAGCCCCGACACCAGGTGCAGCCACGACCTCGGCGGGCCGTACTGCGCCGGCCACCCTGACGGCGTCCTTCTCGCAGCGTCTGTCCCCGGGCGAGCGGCAGAAGCTGGCCTTTGCTCGAGTTCTCTTCCACAAGCCGCGTCTGGTGCTTTTGGACGAGGCAACAAGCTCGCTGGATCGCCACTCCTCGGCCAAGCTGTACGAGGAGCTCTTCCGGGTGTATGGGGGGTCTGTCGGCGGCACTCCCCATTCTCCTGGGCCGCTGGATGGCAAGGGCGCCACCCTCCCGGAGGGGGGTTATGGCGCCGCGGCCGACCCGCAGCTGCGTAGTGCCCACCACGCCGGCCCAAGCGGCACCATCATCAGTGTGGTGCACAATCGCACGTTGGTGCCCTTCCACTCGCACGTCCTGGAGCTTGGAGAGGGCAGCCGCCCGGCCTCCGGTGGGGCGGCTTCCGGATCCAACTGGCGCCTGTCCACCCTGGCTGCCTTCCAAGCAGCGTCCATGTCTGATGGTTTCTGATTGGCACCCGCGCTGCATGGCGCTCCGGGTGCCTGCTGTCCCGAAGGACTGCCAGGCCTTTCCAGATCCTGTCCTCCGCTTACATGCTCGGTGCTGTGATCTGCCATCTCTTCCTCCCTCCCTCCCCCCCCCCTCCCAAACCCCGCTCGGATGAGGCCTCCCTTGGATGGCTCCCGGAGCGAGAAAAAAGAAAACAAATAAAAACACACTGCTCGTGTGGGGTCGGTTCAGTAGCGCCCGACGCGCTCGGGGGATTTCCCCCGTGTTTGCGCGGTGCTCCTGGCCCCTCCGTGTCAATGTCACCAAAAAAAAAAGCCCCAACTCAACAGCAGCTCTGCTCGCTGTTTTTGTCGCCCTTCCTCTCACCCCCCTGCCCCGCCCCGCCCCCACCCTGGTGGGGTCGCACCTGGAAGGGCGAAGCACGCGCACTGTCGGGGCATTGGCCTGGCTCTTGGGAAGCTCAGCGGGGCCGGTGATCAAAGGGCATCCCTTCAGATTGGACATCTCCCCATGCCCGTGGAATGGTGAGCACCGTAGGGGAGCTGCTGGGGGGGGGGGGGGGGACACGTCTGAGTGGGAATCTCGACGCCATCGAGACGGCACCGTGTGAGGAGTGGAACGGAAGGGGGGGGGTTTATGATCTGACATCCTCGGACGCAAATATGGATACAAAAATACGGGCGTTGGTGTAAAGACACACACACACACACACACTCGCTCACTCACGCGCAGTGGCGGGAAAGGAGATGTATTCAAGGACAAGGACAGCCATCGGCGGGTGGTGATGGCCGGCGAGGAAAGAGGAGGGACGCAGGGGAGGGGGGCCGGAGCACATGAACGACCATGACAGCGCACCGGGCCAGCGGTGCGCAAGTGTCGGCAACCTCCGGAGGGGAAGAAAGAGAGGCACGGCGGAGGAGGCGCGAGCAGAAGGAAGACGGCAGGGGAGTAGACAGAGGGCAGCAGGCCGGCCAGGCAGCGGTGCCACTTGCTTTTCGTTCCCTTTTCCTGCCTTTGCTCCTCCTTTGCCCGATCGTTCGCGCGCAGGGGCGACCGGTGTGGGAGGGGGCAGGCGTGTCCACCGGTGTCAAGCCATGCCCAGGGCATCGACGCCAGGCGGCACGGCGCCATTGACCCCGGGGCCACCGCCGACCGTTTGGTCCAAACGGTCTTCCGAGGTGCTGACCGTCGGGGAGGAGGGAGACGCGGAGGTCATATCCCCGAGGGCAAAGCGACCGCGCTTGGGATGCGGCTCGCCGCCGTGCCCCGGGTGAGGCCGGTGCTCGGCCGGGCTGAGGGCCGGACTCCCGGCGCCGGCGGCCCCGGACGACGAGGACGACGAGCCGGGCACCGAGTGCATGGCCGGCGAGTGGTGCGCCGAGGGGGGCATGTGTGGTGACCGGGGCGGCGGCGGGAGGCCACCGGGCGAGGAGGACCCAGCCACCAGGGGGTGGCTCATGGGCGGCGACCGGGGCGAGGGAACCACCACCGAGTGGGGCGGCGGGCCGCCAGGCCCCGGCGGCGGCGGGGGCGCTATCGAGGAATGGGGCCCCGGCGGCGGCGGGGGCGGCGGGCCAACAACACCCGGCGGCGGGGGCGGCGGGACGCCAGCCCCAGCGCCCGGGTAGAAGTGTGTCCCCGGAGGACCTACACATCCGGGGGTGCGCGCGAGGGGGAGCATTGGGCGGATCTCCAGGGTGAGCATGGGCAAGGAACTGGCAGGCAGAGGATACACGGCGGGCAAGACCCCCCCCTCCCCCCTGGGCCTTGGGGAGCAGCGCAGGCAGGCCAACATCACATGGGGCCCAGGCGCGCATGTGTCAGGCATCAGACGTACCGGCCATCGGCGGGGGCGGCGGATGTCCATAGCCCGGGTGCGGGGGTGACCCGGGCGGGGGGTTCCCGGCGCCCGGCAGCGGCGGCGGCGGCGGGTGCCCAAGCAGCGAGCCAAGCGGGTCGCCGGTTGGCGGGGCATCCACCTGGAGGATGGCCGCGATGGCCTGTTCCCCAAGCCCGGCTTGCATGAGGCTCAGGGCTGCCTGAGTCCGGGCCCCAAGCAGGGCCAAAGTGGTGCGAGTCTGATCGAGGGCGCGTTCGGCCAGAGCCAGGCGCGCGGCCTCGGCCGGCGGCAGGCCGTGCGTGTCCACCAGCAGCTGCATCAGCTCCGGCAAAGACCGGGCCATGTTCACCGATTGGAAGGCCTGATGCGGGGGCGGGTGCGGGGGTGGCGGGTGGGCCGGATGGGCCGGGTGGGCCGGGTGGGCCGGATGCGGAGGCGGCCCATGTCCCGGATGCGGGGGCGGCCCATGGGCCGGGTGCGGGGGCGGCGGGTGTGGCGGGGGCGGGCCCTGCTGGGGGGGGCCCTGCTGTGAGGGGTGCGGAGGCGGCCCCTGCTGGGGGTGCGGGCCCTGTTGCGGGTGCAGGAAGGCCTGGCCCGGGTGAGCCCCCCCGCCGACGCCGACGCCCGGTGGCGGGGGCGGGGGGAAGCCCGTGGCCCCGGCCCCCGGCAGCAGACCCGGGTACAGCCCCGCGGCGAAGGGCGGGTCGCCGGCCAATCCGCCGGGCAAATGGGGCGGCGGTCCGCCGGAGACGGCAACCGCGGCGGCGGCGGCGGCAGCCGCGGCGGCCGCCCCGGCCGCCCCAAGGAGATTGGGCCCGCCCCCGCGTCCGGGCATGCCCAAGCCCGAAGGGGTCCCATGGAGGTCGGCGCCCAGGAGACCCGGCTGGCTGAAGTGCCCGGTGAAGGTGTGCATCGGCGGCGGGGGCGGCCCACCGGCCGGGTGGACCAGCGATGAGGGCGGCGGCGGGGGCGGCGCCATCGGCGGGGGGCCTTGCTGGGAGGGGGGCGGCGGGCCCTGCGGCGGCGGGGGCGGCGGCGGCTGCGGTCCCGAAGCCCCAACCCCAGGCGCATGGTCATCATGGTCGTAGCCCGGGTCGGCGTAGGGATCCTCGCTGGGAGGCGGATGGGGGCCGCCACCACCGGCGGCGGCGGCCACAGCGGCAGCGGCAGCGGCAGCCGCGGCCGCCGCCGCATTGGCCCCATCGTCCGCCTGATGGCCATACTCGGCCGGGGGCGGGGTGTAGCCGGGACTGAAGCTCGGCACCACCGTCGGCCCCATGGCACTTGGCCGGAGGTGGCGATAGTCATTGACCACCTGGGCAACCACGGTCAGGGCACGCTGGTCGATGCACCCGGCCTCGATGGGGTCCGGGCTCTTGGTGTAGGCGCTGATGGTCAGGGCCCGGGTCATGGCCGCCTTGCGGACGTAGTCCTCGGCGGCGGTGGGCCGGTCGGAGCCGACGGCGGTGGCGGCGGCGGCGGCGGCGGTGGGCGACGCGCCGGCCCGCCGGGCCGCGGCCACGGCATTCGACCGGCGCTCAACCGGCGCAAAGACCGGGAACACCAGCTCGAAGGACCGGCAGGTCTTGCGAGCCAAGGCCAGGGCATGCTTGAGGGAGGCCTCGCGCGAGTGGTCGGTATTCGGCCCGAAGGCCGGGTCCAGCTCGATGCTGCCGGAGGAAATCCGAGCGAAGGCCGACTCGAAATCCGGCGCGGCCCGATTGTACGCCCGCATCAAGTCGATGATCTTGGCCCGGACATCGGCATCACTGCGGTTGGTGATGCCCACACGGCGCAGGGCCTCGATGATTTCGCGGATCATGGCCTTCTTGGTTTCCGGCGGCTGGGGCGGCGGGTGGCTGGCGGTGTCGATGATTTGCGGGAGCATCACCTGCTCCAGGGTGGGGTTGGGGTTCGGATCGACCAGGGCCACCCCGCGCCAGCGGGCATAATTGCCCGGGGTCATGAGCCACGCCAGGAGGATGGTGGTGCTGGAGCAGCCCGGCTCACCGGAGTCCGGGTCGGGAATGGCATCGCGTTCCCATGATTGCTTGGGCCGGCGATTGGGGCTGTCGACACGTCGGCGGGCAGGCCGCTCGGACATGCTGCCGGGGTACTGGTGTTGGGTGGCCACCGTCAAGTGGGCGAGGCAAGGTGCGAGGGTGGGGGGAGGGGGGAGGAACTGACCGAGGCAGGGGCGCTGGTGGGGGCAGCGGCGGTCGGGGCAGTGGTGGCAATGGCCAGGAGAGTCGGTCGAGCAGGCGCCTGTGCCACGAGAATCGGAAGTGCCAGCCAGCTACCTGGGATGCGGGTCGGGGAAGGGAGGAGGAGGAGGAGGAGGAGGCAGAAGGGGTGTGCCGGGTTCCAATGCACAGGCCGGGACAGGCTGGGACTTGTGGCCAGCAGGTGGCGGGAATATGCGTATGTATGTGGATGCGCACGCGCGCGCGCGCGTTGTGGATGTGGTGGATGTCGAGGGGCGGGATCGCGCGTGCGGCAAAAGCGAGAGCAAGAGGGAGCCTGTGTCAGGGCTCGCGGGGGCTAGGAGGTGTGTGTGTGTGTGTGTGTGTGTGTGTGATGGGAGGGACAGGGGGATGGAGTGAGTGGGGGTCACATTCTCCAGGCGGAGCGCGGAGCAAATCGAAGCCGCCGTACGCGGGACTCGGCGAGGAAGGGCGCCGTGCGGAGATGTATATACTTGGCTATGTATGTATGTAAATATGATGCGGGCAGGGGGGGTCGAGAGGGGCCAGCGATCGACTCTCGGTCACTCCATATCAGGTCTAGGGCGGGAGAATGTGGCCGGCCGATGGGCCCCCGGGCAGGCAAGCAGCGAGAATGGCGGCTAGTGTGAGTGTGTAGCATCAGAGGGGGGAGGAGGAGGAGAGGGAGGGGGAGGCGGAGGGCAGAGGGAAGAGGGCCAGCCCGCGCGAGTATGACCGGACCTCAGCGGACAGTGCCTCCAGGGAGTTGAGCAGAGCAATCGGCCGTATGCTGTGCACAGAGGGTGTACGAGTGGGAGGAGAAACGGGACGGGAGAGAGGCAGGGATGGGTGGGTGGGTGGGTGCGTGTGCGTGCGTGCGTGCGTGCTTGCGCGCGTGCGTGATTGCGTGTGTATGTGGAAGAGGGAGGAGGGAGGAGGCACTATGATGTTCTCCGCGCCCGGAGGCGACGGATTGTTGTGGCCGGTATCCGAAAAGAGGGGCTACGGCGGCGGCGGCGGCGGCGCGGGGCGCGGTGGGCTCAAGGACGTTGAGACTGAGAAGGGAGAAGTGTGGGGTGCTCCAAAACCCGGTCGGCCTCCCCCCCCTTCCGCCCGCCCACCCGATGCGCCCCGGAACAGCCGCAGGGAGAACAAGGGGGTCGGAGATCCTCCGGGCGGAGGGAGGCCGTTCCCCAGCCACAATTGGTGGGACGCATGCCGTGCGCGCCGGCTTGTGCATGCGGATGTGTGCGCGCGCGTGTGTCTGTGTGTCTGTGTGTGTGTGTGTGTGTGTGTGTGTGGTTGTGTGGGTGTGTGTGTGTGTTGACGACCCCCGTGGCGCGCTCCCGCCCGCCGGAATGAAGGCGGGGCTCGTATTCCCCCGCCCGGTCCGGGCCCGCCGCGTCGCGCGACGTGCTGATAACACCAGCAGGGCCTGTCTCCGGTGTTTGCCGTTGTTGTGTCCAGTTTGCCAGCTGGCCCGATGGCGGGTAGCCGGCGGTCTGCAAGGCGGGCCAAGCGGGAGCCCATATCGCAGAAGAGTACACATGGTGCTCGGTTCTGGACAAGCAGACCAACCAGAGTCGCACCGATGCTCGCCAGCAACGCGACCGGCATTCGGAGGTAGGGCGGGACGGGGCGGGACGGGGCGGGAC